AGGGGTCCATAGGTATTTGTACAATTTCCGGCAGAGCCGCGTTCCGTGAACGCCGATGGTCCCAGTACTCATTTCCGCCCAACTCCAACCCATATTAAGTATTGGCTTGCAGACCTTAGACGATCCCATCCCGGTACATGTTCATCCTCTGGACTTCGCCGTCCTCCGCCGCCGCGTCCCCTCCTCCTTCTCCTCCTCCTCCTCCTCCCCCTCCTGCCCTCCTAGACCTTGCGGGTTTGCGGGCTCGTGGCGGGATGGAGGGTTGACAAGCCTCCGTCGACAGCAAGAACCTGGAAACAAAACAAACAGATACGCAAAGTATGGCACGTTACCACACACAGACTCGCGCAGAGCGCGACAGGCTTCTGTCAATATTGCGGGCGCCCGCTTCTCGCCATGTAGGTGGTAATACGGCTGCTACGGGCGACACTAACTAAGCAATGAGACCGCCCGCCAGCTGAGGTAGAAAGAAAATGAGGAAGGTTATCTCCTGTACGTGCCACAAGACAACTTTCAACTTTTCCCAAAGAAGTTCAAATGCCACACAAGCCGCATCACAGCGAATCGAAGACAATCCAGTGGAATGATGCCATAAGTGGGAATCGTCTTGATTGCCAGGGACTGCGGGATCTCAGATAATTCCGCATTCATGATGAAAAAAGGGCCTTCCGCAGCGTTCCCGGTCGGAACAATTACCGAAGCAAGTGGATCATGAGCATCGTTGTGATCCAGCATGGGGAAAGCAGTTCTCACTGTACGGGACGCCAACTTCTGCTTGAAAACGGCTCACAAATGTGTGCGATGCGGTACGGTCGCAACCTACATAGTTCCTTCCCTGCTTTGCGTACACCTGCTGCCAAAGGACCTCTTCAAACCTCGGCAGGGGCAACAGCAGTCTTACAGTTTTTGTCTTGAACCTTGCCATACGCGGCCCCAGGTATAGCCAGATATCTTTCAAATGCTCAAGGAACACATATCCCTATTATCCCATCAAATATCCGCCTGCAACTTCGCCAGTTTCGGTGCGGGATGATCGATGAGCTGATCTGCTATCTGCCGGGAAGCAGTACTGTTGCAGCACGGGCCTCCGCAGCCGTTAGGTTGGTAAAATCGTCCATTTGCGCTCAAGATTAATTTTATAAGGATACCGCCGTATCATTCAAATTTTGTGCTTTTGGTGCGCGTCCTTTGCCGATCAGGCATCCCCGGCTGAACCACCTAAAGAGCTCTTGCGTATAAAGAAAACACCTCGTCCTAAACACGAATCAACTTTATTTTCAGTATTACCGCTCAGTGGTACCCCATGCGCATGTTGACTTCCGGCCAGAACACTAACGGCTGTACGACAGATAAGATGGAATGTTTGGTATAAAGGAGATGATGTTCTGACTGAAAGTTTGTTCTGTGATACCTGTAACGGTTGAGGTTGGCTTTACCTACACAGTTCCACTCGCCTATATCTTAACAGGTTATGAGCCCCGCGCCGCCGCGGCAAGCGAGCGAGCGTTTTGCTTAAGTACTGTGTCCGAACTTGCTGGCTTAGCAACTCTCTGGCTTAGAGATAGGACAAGTATGGGGAAGGATAATGATGTAGAGCGATTAGATAGCTACGCCAACTATTTTCGCTGGCGGACGGCCATGAAGTACTGTTTGGCCGGCAAGGACTGCATGTTGATTAAGTGCTCGTCCTGTAGTGTAGTACGGCAAGTGCGGCGCGGGAGGAGCAGACCGGAATTGGCCAGAGGACAGTGACTGATACGGTAGTGCGTTACAAAGATTAGCTGGGAACAAAGCGCTGAATCCAGACAACGCTAGTTCGCCAGTCAACCGTGCAAGCAAGCGCAAGTCAGAACGTCGTCTGTTGGGGATTTTGAATTGTTTAAATAGTGATTTACTTTGTATTCGGGACCCAGCTCAATAGTAAAATAGATAAGGCGATTTGACGTTGCTGGCATATCGGTCGCCAGTAACAGCGAAGTGATGGCAGAGCGCGAGCAATCGCG